CTGTTGAAGTTGCATTTTTGCAATAAAGAATAAACAGCGAACACCAGTGTTTGCATGCTGGTAAGTCCGCTATAGAGAAGAGTGTTGTAGGAAGATACTTCCTTTATACATGAAGATAATAGGGAAATTTGTCTTTTGCCTCCAGCTTGCGCTGTGCCCTGACCTGAGATTTAATTAGGAAATAAGTTTTCAAGATACCATAATTAGCAGTAAAAAAAAGTAGCTGCTAGGGGAAGATTGGAGGAAATGCAATTCTGATCTGTTTCTGTGCAGTTCACAGTATGGAGCTCAAAGTCCAGCTAAAAGTACTAGCTGGACTACAGTTAAGTTACTCTAGAACTCTGGGCAAAAATTCAGCTTTTCTAGCAGTGATTTCTTTCCCTTATAAAGCTCCCACGAAGAAACATTTAGTTTCCAAGAAGGGCAAATGTTCAAAAACATTTGAAACCTGAAAAAAGCCTGCACAGAGGTGTGCGTTTGAGAGCCATGCTCATGTCTGGAATTTCACTTACCAAATATTCTAAATAACCAATTCAAAAGTTGTTGTGGTTGAAAAACATAATTAGTTATTTAAAAAACATGAAACGGATACCTGTGGTGCCCAAATGGGAAAACTGCAAGATGACAAAATAGCTATTTAAATGTGGAACAACTAATTATAAAGGGCAAAGAAATTTTTGAAAATTACTTGCTAAGAGGACTAAAGCTCCAACACATGGAAAGCGGAAAGCGCAGTAGTGACTGGTAAAGCTGGTAAATGAATTAAGTATAAGAACAACGCAGAAGAACAAGGCATCTGCAGAAGAAGGATTAATTTGCATTAGTGTCCACTGTAGAGTGATTAGGAGGTTCCCAAGTCAGAACTGTTTGGATGGAGGATAAGTAGAATGAACTGGTAATTCAAGATAAAATCTTAGAGCAAAGTCATGCAACAGAAGCAATGTGTTGTGTAAAACTAGGTTATTCATCACTTCCGTGTTTGAAATCCCTACAGTTTGAGTAAATAAATTAATCATTTGTTACTTGTTAAATAAATTGACTGTGGTGCCTGAGGTTCAGGGAGGCAGGATGGCAAATGTGGTAGAAAGTTTTCATTAATGATTCTGAAACAACCAAAAGCCTGACTTCCATACCAAGGAATTTGTATCAGGTTTCATCAAGAGTGCAATTAGCGAAAGTGAATAGAAATGATTAATTGAACAAGGAGGAGTACAAAAATCACACCACTTGGCTCTGACCGAAAAGCTGGTAAGCGTGTGAATGAATGTGATCCCCTCACTAGGGGTTTCTGAAGGTTTCTGAAAACCTTTCCATCGCATTCCTTCACTACCAATAAAGGGGACCAAAGCAGTAAATAATTCTGTACAACTGAGGGACAACCAATAGTAGCTTAAATCTGAGGAAAACTAAGAAGAAATTAAGAGTAACAAGTACTGAGTCACTGAAGTTCCCCTTTTTCCTTTAAAGGCTGCACCACTGGAAACTATTCTCCATTCTGCAAATATTGCTTACCCAGAAATTGGGAATCTGTGGATGGTCTAAGCTACTCAGACTTCTAGGTGCTGTGGTCCTCTATTGTCTTACAGGTTGTCCCTATCCCTCTTGTGTTGGCCATGGCACTTGGATTCAGTATTGAGCTGTTCCAGCCTACACAGTTGGTGAAATTTTACTTTTTAATTAATTTATTTACACGCATATATATATATGTATATATATGTTTTCATTTTTTTAGCTGGGCTGGCTTTGTGCTGACTGTGGGCTGGAATGGCCTAGTCCTGGACAAGAGCCATTGTAGCCAGCAGATAGGTAGATCTGCAATTTCAGGAAAAAAATGGGAATAGAAAACTGCTAGTTTCATTTGATTACAATGCAGGTATCCTATGAGTAGATGATTAGATGCAATTTAGTTAAAAGGCTAAGTAGATTTGGCCTTATACAATAAATCTGAAAAGATGGGAATCCCTAAGTGGCTTTTAGCAACAAGGCAACTAGACGTGTCTCTATGTTAGTGCAACTTAACTTTTGAAATAGTTATTACACTGAACCTTTTTTTTCTCTCTCTTCAACAGGATGTTATTGCTGGATTTCTGTATGCTATTCTCATCTTGATTGTCTTCCATCCAGTTGTGGACCTGATTGATAACTTCAACTTAACTTACAAATATGCACCATTAATTATCATCAGTCTCCACTTAGCCCTGGGCATCTTCTCTTTCACTCTAGACACCTGGAGCACCTCGCGAGGAGACACTGCCCAGATATTGGGCTGTGGTGCTGGTGTAGCCTGTGGCTCTCATGTAAACTACGTCCTGGGTCTCGACCTCGACCCTGCTCCCGATACGTTACCTTTGTCTCTCAACTCTCTCACTGTGACTACGTTTGGAAAAGCCATATTGCGGTTGTTGATTGGAGTAGTAATTTTGTTATTAACAAAGATAGCGATGAAAAAAGTCACCATCCCACTGGCGTGTAAAATATTCCGCATTCCACACGATGATGTACGGAAGGCAAGACAGCGCATGGAAGTTGAGCTTCCCTATCGCTACATTACGTATGGAATGGTTGGGTTCTCCCTCATGTTTTTTGTCCCAGGTGTCTTCCAGTTTATTGGTCTTTCCTGATGCAGATTCATCCCTTTAAATAGGGTGAGCGGAGCTAGTTGCTTTTTGAAAAGGTGCACTAGTTTGCTAAGGGAAGGCCAGTGAGTTTGGATTGAGCAGAAGTCTTCACTTTAACAGCAATACATACAGGCAGAGCATTTAAAGGACATTGCACATCTCTGGTATCAGTCCCTGAGAAGTGCTGAACTCTCTAAATGCTGTGTCTGGACTTGCTGCTGTAACAAAGTGTGTGTTCAGGTTGAAATGAGTGTGTCTGAAATGTCTGTTGTACTGTACCTGTATCCTTTGGCATTTTCAACAAGCGTGTCTGACAGCTCATCAGAAAGCTCCATTCATGATCTGTTTGCCATTTCATTCTTGTTCAACTCACTGGACCATAAGCTACTAAACAATTTATTTTCCTCTCTTTTCCCTAAACCCTGCTTCAAGATGTTTCAGCTAACAGACATTCTGAATGGACCAAAATTGCAATGAGTTTGGATTTTTCTAAAACAGGTTTTTTTCTTTAGTCCCTTTTACATGGTGGAATATCCAGGTTGGCATTGGTGTTAAATATAAATGGAGTATGTAAGATTCAGGTACTGTATTTTATGGCTTGATAACTGTGCCTTTTTGTTGCTAAACTAAGAAATATACTGTGATGTAAAAATTATTCATTTTATTTTATATCATAATTAGGCAAATATTTTTAAATGTTAGATTGTCCACATTACTGGTATTGTAAAGTTAATCAGAATATTCAGTTTTTCCTGTTTAAGATTGCATAAATGAAATGGCCCAAGAATCTTGCCCTTAGGCTCAAAAGATTGTGAGCAAACAAAAATCCCTTTTGTATGTATTTTTAATATGCACTGTAAGTTACTGGTAGAGGATATATTTTTCTGAGGATTGTTTATATAGTGGGCAGATGTTTCAAATTATCTAAAAATATAAAAAATAAAATTTCCCAGCCAACTGAACATGGGCCTCACATATTATTCTAAACAGATACAGAAGGACCATTGTTTTTGAGGTGTTCTTAGAAAATCTGATGATAATTCTAGAAAAAAGTATGTATTTTTATTCATTAACATAATGTATTTTAAGGCAAGAATTGCTTTTACTCACTTTACATGATTACAAAACGATCAAAATTTTTGATCATTTTTGATAGGCAGATGTTAGTACTGAAGACGGTGTTGTCAGTGCGTGATAGATTTGTGCATCTCTAGGTTTTACTGAGTAAGAATGCACTTTCAACTTTCCAAGTTTCTCTTCCAAGTGATGAGTAGGGCATGATCCTTGAACTATGATTTCACATGCCTCTGTTTGGAATTTCTTTTTGTCTGTTTTGTCTGTGTTTTGTTTGTTTGCCTACGCTGTCCTTCCTGTGTTAGGAACTCTCTTATTGCAGCATTCTGGCAAGACATGAATGAATTACAGAGTTTTGTCTCAGCACATTTTTTCAGGAAAAATAATTTGACTGGGAAATCTAATGAATAATTGAGTAGAATATAAAGCTTAGGTTTTTGTAATAAATACTTGGATTTGGAAGCTTATTGTATTGGAGGCATGAGTTGCAAACTGTTAAATACATAAATCAACAAAATTAACTTCCTCCTTCTCAAAGCAGTCAGTTATGGTACGCTGGCATTAGAAGATGTGAAAACCTGACTTTTCTGATGTGCATTGAGAATGCACTGCTATGAATGTACTCAGAAGAACTTCTCCAGCTCATGAGATCTTATCTTGCAGAAAATGTTCAGCTTTTTTCAGCACATATTTCTTTGTTTGATTTCTCTATTTATTCGTTGTGGTTTTTATGCTCCAAGTGCAGCAAATCAGTTCTCAAGGTTTTGAGGGAGGGATTTCCACTGATATGGCCTTGCACACTAAGGTGGAGAATTAGTAAATAACTAGGGGAGAGATATACAAAAAGGCTTTTTGCTTAAAGCCTTGAGCAGGTATTATAGTTCTGATGGTAGTAAGTTACCCTGAAGACTGGGAAAATTCATACTAAAAGAATGACTCCTCTGAAATTTAGAACATATTTTCCTTAAATATTCTAGCTTTACACTTTATAGGTAAGAGTGTTTAAATTGTAGCACACAAGGGAGAGTAAACAAACAAAACTAATTTTTAAGGTACGTATTTGCTGTTAAGACTTTTAGGAACTTGAAGTTTACAGCATAGGATTGTTCTTAACGCTGTGTTTTATAACCGTCATACTAGTAATAGAAAACTACTATGGAAATTTTAGAATGGGTGAAAGAATCATCTGCAGTCATGACTTTCAGCAGACTAAGGAAAATTGCACTGTAACTCATTCTACTATTACTCATATATATAATATATATTTTATATTTTTATACATTACATTGGATAACTTCAAAATGTCATGTTCTGTGTACCACATATTGTATTCTGCAAGAAATGTATATCAGAATATTGGTTTATACAGCACCTTTAAAACCCTTATTGCAACTATATATTGAAGTTTACATGAATAAAATTTTACTATTCTATTTTCATGTTCTAAAAGGGCAGTTCAGCACA